CAATTTACCTAAATGTAAAGAAATATGGGCTAAAGAATAGTTGTAGCCCACCACTAACTGGCTGCATGGCAACATTACATACTTCCTGTTTACATCCCCCAAAGCATTATGGGAAGCGTAGCGCATGATTATCCCTCAAATAGACGTAAAACCAAATCAAATCAAATCAAATTAATAGTGACGCTACTGATTGATAGTACTGATACACACAAGATAATATTTTTTTTCTTTAAACAATTCAAAGGCTCAGAATGTCTCACCAACATGGTTCTTATGTCCCTTAAACCCTGATACTCTCCTCTATTCAAATATACAGATATCTGCAGTGTTTTGAGAACCTTGGCCAGTATCAGACTTCCTAAATTCCTGATGTGATGCCATGTTTTATTAGACTGAATTTGAGAATTAAATTTGAAGAAGTTAAAGGTCCAGTGTAGGAGTCAAGGGGACATAATGGCAGTAATGGAATATAGGCTAATATAATGTAATAAGTATTTTTTCTTTAGTGTTTAATCACCTGAAAATAAGGAAAGTTGTGTTTTTGCTACCTTAGATTGACTCGTTCATATCTACATGGGGAGCAGGTCCATGTTTATGGAGATATTGCACCACCATGTTTCTACAGTAGCCCAGAACGGACAAACCATAGGGCTGACCCCTTTTTGAATAGTTTCTTTTGATGTGTGTCGTATTGGTTGAACTGTATCAAGAGGGGCAGCCTTCGTTACCAGAATTTGGAGGATGCAACGGATGAATCCTTCGTGGACCAGCCTATCCCAAGATGCATTGTGCTGGTGACGATTATATATTAAGTTAACTAACAGTTGTTAACTAGCTAACAGTTAACTGTTGCCAACATTACTATCAGCTTAAACAATCTTAATTTAATGAGTTTACCTGAAAACGCTCCATCAGCCTGAAATATATCAAACAGCGGCGTCTCCGGTGGTGCATCATGCCCCCAAGTATTAAATAAAAATATCATGGGTCCATGATTTAGGATTAACTAACCTACTAGTTTATGCTTTCTTTTGTTAAGTGGAGCTGGTTGCTAGGTGACAGGAACGCCAACGAGTCGAGGCGAGAACAACTGGTGATGCAACCAGGAAATCCTCAGCAGACCAGACCGTCCCATTTCGGAGACCCTTCGGTTTGGCTGATGCGGTCTTCAAAGGCCGCGTCCTTCAAAGGCTGCAGCCCCTGAATTGAGACACAACTATTATGTTCTTAACATGGACCCCAGGAAGAGTAACTGTTGCCTTGGTAACAACTAATGGGAATCCAAATAAACGTCTGGATCTTCAGTTATCAGAAAAAAGAGGTGAGCAGACATTAGTAAGTGCTAGGCTAGCAGCCCATCTTGACATATCAAACAGCACTGTAGAAACTCCGATTTGTAACATGAAACTGCTTTATTCAGTGTTTTTATCGGTTTAAATCACCTGGTCTGTTTGTTTTGGAGAGGAAGAGACCTCTGTGGGTGATTCGGCTCCTGGTAAAAACCTCCTGAACAATGAACACTGACAGAATTCTAACCAGGAGAAGTTTCAGCTGGTCGCTAGAGGCCGCTAAATCCCCCTAAATATGATTAAAGTTTTAAAGTTTAAAGTACTGTATCTACTTTCTTACAGAAGTTTCTGCCACCAAAATATGCTCTTCTTTTAAATGAATAATATGAAACACAGAGAGCCACTTAGATCTGTGTAGAAATATATTTTCTCAGACAAACACTACACAGTCGTTACAGTCGGTCCTGACTTCATTACAGTCTCAGTAAATACTCAGACAGCAGCAAATACCCATGATGCAACAGGAAAACAAAAACAAGTTCATGTGCAAAATGACAGAAGAGATGATTCGGTGGTGGAGAGAAAAAGTACTTTTACCTGGAGCTCAGGTGAATCTGGACGTCACATACAGGATAAGATGAACTTCACATTCAGTGTCCATAAATGCACTTTGCATATAGTTCATGTTCAGTCATGCAAAAACACTTTGACACATACGAAATGACAGTTTACACAGACATGCAGGAAATCACATCCCAAAACAAATATTCCAGATTATAAACGGCAGAACAGTGACATTAATCAACACTGACTGTACACTCTAACGTTTGGATAGAAAATAGCAGCAGAAAAAAAAAGAAAAATTGGAGTGATGAGATTGAGGCAAAAAGTTAAATTCAAGATTTAAAAAAAAACTGCTGCAGGACAAAAAGTAGATATTTCTTTAAAAAAATACAGGATATGAAGATTTAAAATACCAACATGAAAACAAATTAAAGAAATAAAGATAAAAACAACACACATTATTATGTTTTTCCTTTTTATGTTTGCATTAACTGTATCATAATGAAAAACATTATAATATTTATTTGTCTTCATAAACGTAATGAACTGCGACATAGATCTGCCAACATAATATAACATACTCTTTATATTTGCATTAATGAATTTTAAAAATATGATTATTTATTGGGACAATATGTAAACCAGTAAAGTGATTTTGAGTAAATGTGCAAACCACGTCAACTTTAAAGACCAAGGTGAAGGAAGTATTCAGATTTTTTATGATACCACACTGTATACGATTACAGGTACATTCCATATGAAAATACGTAAACGTATGTAAGTATTATTACAAAAATATACTTAAAATATCAAAAGTAAAAGTACTCAGTGCAGAGAAATGTCCCTTCTGATTGCTTTACTATTCAGCCCCTCTAGGATGTTTCAGCCAATCCCCCATGAATTGTGCATGACTGCGATTTTTGCCAATCACGGCAAATTTCCAGCATATTTGACCAGTCATGGTCGTTTCCCTTGAGTTTCATCAAATCATAGCATTTCTCTGCATAACGTCACTAAACTTACTTCCCTGTGTCTGGTTGTGAAGATGCAGCATGTGTCTCACATTTTCCGACATTTTTTTTTTTTGCTAAATTTGAGGATATTTCCCACAGGCCTTCTTGAGGTATCACCTTGACCCTTGACCACCAAATTCTGATCAGTTTGTTGTTGAGTTAAAATGCATGTTTGTGCCAAATTTAAGGAAATTCCCTCAAGGTGTTCTTGAGATATTCTGTAAACAAAAATGAGATGGATGCAAGGTCATAGTGACCTTGACCATTGACCACCAAATTGTGATCAGTTCATTGTTAAGTTCAAGTGGATGTCTGTGCCAAATTTGAAGAAATTCCCTTGAGGTGTTAGATATCACATTCACAGGAATTATGCAGATGCAAGGTAATGGTGACCTTGACCTTTGACCACCAAATTCTAATCAGTTAATTCTTGAGTCCAAGTGGATGTTTGTGCCAAATCTGTTGAAATTCCCCAGACACTTTTTTGAGATATCATGTTTACAAGAATAAGACAGACATACAGTACAGGCCAAAAGTTTGGACACACCTTCTCATTCAATGCGTTTTCTTTATTTTCATGACTATTTACATTGTAGATTCTCACTGAAGGCATCAAAACTATGAATGAACACATGTGGAGTTATGTACTTAACAAAAAAAGGTGAAATAACTGAAAACATGTTTTATATTCTAGTTTCTTCAAAATAGCCACCCTTTGCTCTGATTACTGCTTTGCACACTCTTGGCATTCTCTCCATGAGCTTCAAGAGGTAGTCACCTGAAATGGTTTTCCAACAGTCTTGAAGGAGTTCCCAGAGGTGTTTAGCACTTGTTGGCCCCTTTGCCTTCACTCTGCGGTCCAGCTCACCCCAAACCATCTGGATTGGGTTCAGGTCCGGTGACTGTGGAGGCCAGGTCATCTGCCGCAGCACTCCATCACTCTCCTTTTTGGTCAAATAGCCCTTACACAGCCTGGAGGTGTGTTTGGGGTCATTGTCCTGTTGAAAAATAAATGATCGTCCAACTAAACGCAAACCGGATGGGATGGCATGTCGCTGCAGGATGCTGTGGTAGCCATGCTGGTTCAGTGTGCCTTCAATTTTGAATAAATCCCCAACAGTGTCACCAGCAAAACACCCCCACACCATCACACCTCCTCCTCCATGCTTCACAGTGGGAACCAGGCATGTGGAATCCATCCGTTCACCTTTTCTGCGTCTCACAAAGACACGGCGGTTGGAACCAAAGATCTCAAATTTGGACTCATCTGACCAAAGCACAGATTTCCACTGGTCTAATGTCCATTCCTTGTGTTTCTTGGCCCAAACAAATCTCTTCTGCTTGTTGCCTCTCCTTAGCAGTGGTTTCCTAGCAGCTATTTGACCATGAAGGCCTGATTCGCGCAGTCTCCTTTTAACAGTTGTTCTAGAGATGGGTCTGCTGCTAGAACTCTGTGTGGCATTCATCTGGTCTCTGATCTGAGCTGCTGTTAACTTGCGATTTCTGAGGCTGGTGACTTGGATGAACTTATCCTCAGAAGCAGAGGTGACTCTTGGTCTTCCTTTCCTGGGTCGGTCCGCATGTGTGCCAGTTTCGTTGTAGCGCTTGATGGTTTTTGCGACTCCACTTGGGGACACATTTAAAGTTTTTGCAATTTTCCGGACTGACTGACCTTCATTTCTTAAAGTAATGATGGCCACTCGTTTTTCTTTAGTTAGCTGATTGGTTCTTGCCATAATATGAATTTTAACAGTTGTCCAATAGGGCTGTCGGCTGTGTATTAACCTGACTTCTGCACAACACAACTGATGGTCCCAACTCCATTGATAAAGCAAGAAATTCCACTAATTAACCCTGATAAGGCACACCTGTGAAGTGGAAACCATTTCAGGTGACTACCTCTTGAAGCTCATGGAGAGAATGCCAAGAGTGTGCAAAGCAGTAATCAGAGCAAAGGGTGGCTATTTTGAAGAAACTAGAATATAAAGCATGTTTTCAGTTATTTCACCTTTTTTTGTTAAGTACATAACTCCACATGTGTTCATTCATAGTTTTGATGCCTTCAGTGAGAATCTACAATGTAAATGGTCATGAAAATAAAGAAAACGCATTGAATGAGAAGGTGTGTCCAAACTTTTGGCCTGTACTGTATAGTCAAAGTGACCTTGACCCTTGACCACCAAATTCTGATCAGTTCATTGTTAAGTTCAAGTGAACATGTGTGCCGAAATAGAAAAAATTCCCTCTTTAGATATCCTGTTCACAAAAATTAGACGGATGCAAGGTCATAGTGACCTTTGACCACCAAATTCTGATCAGTTCATCATTGAGTACAAGTGGATGTTTGTGCCAAATTTGAGGAATTCCCCAGAGACCCTCTTGAGATATCGCATTCACGAGAGTAAGACAGACACAAAGTCAAAGTAACTTTGACCCTTAACCATTGAATTCTGATCAGTTCATCGCTGAGTTTAAGTGGATGTTTGTGCCAGATTTGAAGAAATTCCTTCAAGGTGTTCTTCAGATATCCAGTTAACAAATATTAGACGGATGCTAGGTCTTAATGACCTTTGATCACCTAATTCTAATCAGTTTATGGCTGAGTTCAAGTGGTAGGTTGTGCCGAATTTCAAGAAATTAATTCAAGGTGTTCTTGAGATATCCCATTCACAAAAATGAGACACATTCAAGGTCATAGTGACCTTGACCTTTGACCACTAAATTCTAATTAGTTTATCGCTGAGTTCAAATGGAAGTTTGTGCCAAACGTTCTCGTGTTTATGAGAATGGGATAGACTGATACTCCTAAACTGAACTCTGTGTAAAAAAAAAAGATGGAATATCCCTTTAATTGCAAAATAATATTAAAGTAAACTATGTTAAAGAGTAAACACTTTGAGTTGCCGTGGCAGCATCTGCTTCCTACAGACTGAAATCCAGTTGATGTTATTTTTTTAACCGAGCACATAAAGGAACAGTTCGTAAATTCGACATGCTAACTGCAGCGTGGATCTGACGTGTTTCATACGAGGTATAATTTACTGAGTGTGTCTAAATACTGTTGTACATGGAGTAACAGTGGAAACATGCAACTTTATCTGTAAAGTAACATCAGACACTGACAAACACATCGAGCTCAAAACAGCACAAAAATGTTTAAAGAAATAAAAAAAGGATTCCATGCAACATCAGCACACCTTCATACATGCATACTGTGTGTGATATACACATTCATAACATACAGTATCACCACGTACACACACACTGTGTGTGTGTGTGTGTGGAGTGTTTTAAAACAGATTAAAAAACATTACCAGCTTTTCTTTACAAGATTTAGAAAATAAACTTTTCCACAGTAACAAAACAGAAACAACTCAACTGTTACAACTTTTCATAATAATCCAAAGATACAGAAAATATATAAATAACGTAGTTTACAGTGTTTACAGGAGAGAGGGTCGATGATGAGCGGCGGCTAGCTCAGGTTTGTCCTCCGGCGTTTGCTGGGACTTTGTCCGGGGTCCACCTTCAGCTCACGGTAATGCATCTGTCCGTCAAACACACACACACACACACACACACACAGAGTCAGGTAAATACATTGATCGAACTCCGATGTCAGAACTGAACACTTTTTGTATAACAAACTCCAGACTTTAAAAGGCATTTTACACTGTAATGACTAAAGCTGACCAGTTTGGGGTTGGGCTGCACCACTGCAAAGTAAATTTGCTCATGGCAGCCATTTTGTTTACTTAAGAATACTAACAAAGTTATCTCAAGACCCTCTGGCTGTGTACCAGGTATGCAGAAAACTCGGGGAAGCCAAAATTGCCTTACTAGCTTCTTTGCATATGACGTATTCATTGGTGCACTGTCCAGATGGAGGGCAGGAAACTGGAGGCAAAAACAACCAACACTGAACAAATGTCTATGATTTGTGCTGTTATTGGCAATTCCAATTTATCAAACTGGGAGAAAACTTTAAGTCCTGAAAACAGTAGGACGTAAAAGTAAATAAAAACTTCACTGAGAAACAGCGGCAGATGTGGATCAGAAACCTCCAGCTTCAGTCTGAAGGAGCGGAGTCAGCTAACTTCAAACGTTTGAAGCAAAGCATTGTGCTAAACATGCCTGCAGTTCAGTGGCAGCTGCTGGTCTTTCAAGGAGGGGAAGCTCATTTTCGGCCTACATCATAAAATGTGTCCGTTTATTTATACGTAAATTCTACCCTCTGGTGCTGCTGCGCGAGGCTAGTGTGACCGCCTGTGAGTGCTTTGGGATGGTGGAGGGGCTCACAGCACCCACTGCTCGTTGGGGACAATAACTGCAGAGCGACAAAAGTCAGAGTCTCCAAACACGAGTGCAGTTTCCAATAACACCAGAAAAAGATGCTAAATTTGTCGCTAGTCGTTTTTAACAAAGAAAAAGTCACTAAGAGGATTGGAAAAGTCTCCAGATCAACTCGGAACAACGGAATGAAACTTGAAAAATGCTCCGGTGGTGGTTTATATTTCAAGATCGCTGTTTCGCTCATTTCGCTGTCAATCAAAAAGGGATTAAGCCTCAGACAGATCATCCAATCACCATGCAGAAGCCCAGCGTCCAGGCCAGCTGAGGCCAGCCCACTGCCCCATAGACCCCCAGAGATGCTGAGCGTCCGATGGGCGGGACAAAACCGAGCATTTATCCAATGGCTGTCTAGTTTCACTGCAGTGGAACAACCCACTCTGTGCTTCCCCACTGAAGTCTTTGGACACTGAGCTTCGACACTGTTTAATGCACTGTGACGCTACGGGAATGAATGAGAAGAAAGTCGCGTCAGTGACCTGTGATAAGTAGCTGATTCTGAACAAAAGTTGAACGCGTTCTAGCGCATATTTAGTCAATGAAATGTAAACACAACAGTACATATTTGACCACTTATCTTTTGACATTTTAGGGGAAGCTGAGCTTCCCTTGCAGTCTTAGAGCAATCGCCACTGCTGCAGTTGGATGCAATTACAATGTGCTGTGACAACTTCTCTCTGTTTTAAGCCACGATCCAGATTTAAATGGCGTTCCAACAGCCCTCTGAGAACAGTTGACCTAGTAGGTAGAAAACAGTAGCTAAAATGAGCTAATGTTAGCTAGTAATGTTAGCCTGACAACGTTTCACCAGACATCTGGGAACGGTTAACCTAATAGATCCAAAATAGTAGCTAAAGTTAACTCGTAACATTAGCTTCCTGCCCTCCATCTGAATTTCGCGCTTCATAATAGTCATGTGAATACCAACAAGCTATACTAAAAGCATTTTATGTTGTTGATGATGACAGATGACCAGTTTTGTTGTAGGAGACCAAAATTGTTTTTTGTACCAGAATGTAAACGTGTTAATCTCCGCTGTAAAGTTGGGCATTTTAAAATGGGGATCTATGGAGATTAACTCGCTCTTGGAGCCAGCCTCAAGTGGCCATTCGAGGAACTGCAGTATTTGGGACTTTGGCAATGGCTTAATTTTTTTAACCCCAGAGGCTGCCACTTGGTTTTGATGCTGCCTCGCTGCAACAACACTTTCTTGTGTGAAAATACAGATCTTAACTGAACCCTTTACAGAGCTCCTGATGACACCTCCCCCTGCAGTACTAACGCCGGACAGCTGGAGTCACAGGGACGTACGAGATCTCGCAAATTCACGCATAATCGTGCGATATAACAAGATATACTGTATATGATATATTATACCAGTCATATATGATTTAATGGTTTTGCACCACCATGATTAACATCTCCTCGTCCATGGTGTCAACGGGGTGAAATGACGTCTGAAAACCTCTGACCTGTTGACTTCAGGCCTGCCTCCGCCCATTATGTAGTTTTCAAGGTGTAGTGCAGGGAAATATAATCTGCCGTGAACACTGTGTATTTTATTTTGAAAATTAACTGGATGTTTTATTTGGTTGCTGTGTTGTGCTCCGGCGTCTGGCAAAAATAGAAGTCCTGCCTATCTGTTGCGGAGGGCTCTGGAGTGCCACAGCTGTGACGGAGCCAGAATGCAGGACAGCTGCAGCCAGTGGAAGCACACACATTGACTAGAATTGAAATGTATCGGCTCTGATACGCATCTGGTGGAATTTGGGGTTAGTCTGTTTGTACCCACCACTTGAACATCAGATGGAACTCTGGACAGGAAGTCCAGAAGCTCGTTGTTGTCGATCATGTACGGATCACGCAGCTTCTTGGTAAACTTATTCACACCTGCAAAAGAAAGGAAATCAGATTCAAGTATATACACTGCACATATTCTCTGTGTTGTGTTTGAGTAAAAGCAGTCTCACCCCATGCCAACACAAGGTATCGAAGAGGAATGAGGTAGAGAAGAACTGTGGCCAAACATAAGGCAGCGATCGCCAACCAGCTCAGAAAAGGCACTGTCCAGTTAACGGTGCTGCGGGGGAACAACAGCAGAAACGTGTTGATAGAGTAATGTAACACGTCTCCTGCTGCCTTCATGAATCACAATCAGTAACTATCTCTTTGCCAGTGACTTCCTGGAGTCTTTGCTGTGATACTCACTTCTTTATCCTCTCTCCATATGACGCCACCTCATCCAGAGCGCTCTGAACACTGATGAACACGTCCTGGATGGCGTACAGTTTATCTATGAAGCCCTTGTGCTCTGACTCCTGACAGGAACAAGGTGAAGATCCTTATTTCCGTACATTTAATACAATACTACACATGTAAGTGCAGCTTTATTTTTTATTGAATAACAACGCTACCTTGTCCTCTTTATCCTCTTCGTCATCTTCCCATTCAAACATGGCCTCCATGGACTGCAGCAGAAAATGAAGCATTTAAGAGTTTGAAAGAGAGACGTTCGTAACAGAGATAATCTGTCGTCTTTGTCTGCTCACCATGTCTGTTGTGTCTCTGCTCGAGGAGAAGAAGTAGTTCCAGACGAGCAGCAGCAGCAGAGCCAGCGGCAACATGTAGAGCTCAAAGTTCCACACAACCACCACAAACAGCTGGCGAGGAAATCCAGGAAAACATGCACTTAACAACATACTCACTGACTGTAATTCAAGTAGCCTGAGAGAAAACTAGACTTCTGCACCTCCTCTTGACTCTGTCTTAGGGCTTTGAAAAATCTAGGCCATGACGAGAGACTTTGGCCAATCAGCTGTCAATCATTTCAATCACTGCTCATGACCTGCAGTCAAACTGTCCGACGAGGCAACGCTGATCAGATTCTGTTACTGCATTCCTTATTTCTCACCTCAAATATTCGTGAGCCAGCTGCCATGTTGACAACACTCAAGCCAAAAGGAAGCACCGCCCACACGGTCACAAACTTTCTCATTCAACAGCTAAACAGTACACTAAAATAAAATCTCACTCCGCTTGCTTAAACCCAACCAACACTGAGTGCTAGCCAATCAGAGAAAGAGGAGGGCCGGTCATGTCTTCGCCATCCTAGGTAAAGAAATTTGACCTCCCTGGCAACAAGACGTAAAATAAGGTGATGAGAGGCACCTGATTATGAGTGTGTGTGTGTGTCATACCACAAAGGAGATGATGCTCCTCTGTGCAGACTCCCACTCAAAGCAGCTGTTGATGTACGTCCCGTAGCTTATCAGGACCATGATGCACCTCTTCACACGGTTAAAGTTCTGCTGCAGCAACTGACAGACACAAAGTACAGGTTATTAGAATGAGTTATATTTAGGAATACTTCAAATTTAAGTCTGCTGATTTTCTATATTGAGCAGCTGAAACTATATGTTTGTGTGTTTAAAGATAGACATCTAAAGTAGGAACCAGTGGGCCACAGACAGAAAGTCAGACAAACAGTGAATAATCATGCACATAAACATACATGCTTGGAGACTTTAGGTTCTTCCTCGATGTATTTCTGCTCTGCGGGGACGACCGTTCTCAAAGCAGCTTTAACCTGAAGAGGAAAATACACGCACAGAGCAGGTCACGTGACTGAGACATTAGAGAACACGAGATAAATTCAGCACACAGTGCCACTTCTGTATAAATGAGCTCAGAGTGTCACTCACAGTGTTGAAGATGACATCAATCTCCAGGTAAATGACTCCTTTAGTTGGTCCTGTCAGCTCCTTATTTTTCAGCACGTAGCTCTTCTGCTCACCGTTACGGATCTAATGGAAACAAAAATATGGTTACAGTTTGGATTTAGGGGGATATATTGTCAGAAATGGAAAATAATACAAGAAGTATGTTTTCTTTACTGTATAACCACCTGAAAATAAGAATCAGGGAGCAGGAGTGATTCATAGGGAGTGTTTCTACCAGTTTATATCACCTGGTCTGTTTGTTTCTGAGAGGATGAGACCTCTGCGGATAATTAAACTCCAGGTAAAAACCTCCTAAGCAATGAATACTAAAGGAATTTTAACCATTAGAAATTTGAGCTGGATGCAATGTGCAGTCTTCACCACTAGATGCCACTAGATTCCCCTAAATCTTACACATCTTCAAATTTTAGATTTTTGGGGAACTTTTTATTCCAAGAAACATGCAGATACTCAACAACTCTGCTCCCAGTTTACTTATTACCTTTAAAATCAGTATTAGGATTACTTTCATACACCCCAGATTTGTGTTTATTTTTTGTTCCACTCACATGTAATAAGGGGATGGCCACTTTTCCCAGGAAGTCAGCACTCCTGTCTCTGTCCTCGTCAAACACCGTCACCTCCAACACCGAGTGAATGTCTTTGACGTTACTGAGGAAAGAGAGAAATATGAGAGAAAGAGAGGAATACGATAATACGCAGTATTTCTGTATTATGATCAAAAAGAAACAGAACTTATGACTCACAAGGTGAAGGCTTTGTTCCACTCTGGATTCAGGTTCTTGTAAACAGTATGAGTCTGTAGTCGGTCGTTATTCAGCTCCAACACACAGAATGGGTCACTCTTACCTACAAAGACATTTACATTACATTACACAACCGCTATATAATGTATAAAGTACAGCACAGGAGTATAAAGTATGGTACGGGAGTATAAAGTACAGTACAGGAGTATAAAGTATGGTAGAGGAGTATAAAGTACAGCACAGGAGTATAAAGAATGGTAAGGGAGTATAAATACAGTAAAGGAGTATAAAGTACAGTACAGGAGTATAAAGTATGGTAGAGGAGTATAAAGTACAGCACAGGAGTATAAAGAATGGTACGGGAGTATAAATACAGTAAAGGAGTATAAAGTACAGTACAGCAGTATAAAGTATGGTAAGGGAGTATAAAGTACAGCACAGGAGTATAAAGAATGGTATGGGAGTATAAAGTACAGTACAGCAGTATAAAGTATGGTAAGGGAGTATAAAGTACAGCACAGGAGTATAAAGAATGGTATGGGAGTATAAAGTACAGTAAAGGAGTATAAAGAATGGTACGGGAGTATAAATACAGTAAAGGAGTATAAAGTACAGTACAGCAGTATAAAGTATGGTAAGGGAGTATAAAGTACAGCACAGGAGTATAAAGAATGGTATGGGAGTATAAAGTACAGTACAGCAGTATAAAGTATGGTAAGGGAGTATAAAGTACAGCACAGGAGTATAAAGAATGGTATGGGAGTATAAAGTACAGTAAAGGAGTATAAAGAATGGTAAGGGAGTATAAATACAGTAAAGGAGTATAAAGTACAGTACAGGAGTATAAAGTATGGTAAGGGAGTATAAAGTACAGCACAGGAGTATAAAGAATGGTAAGGGAGTATAAAGAATGGTAAGGGAGTATAAATACAGTAAAGGAGTATAAAGTACAGTACAGGAGTATAAATACAGTAAAGGAGTATAAAGTACAGTACAGGAGTATAAAGAATGGTAAGGGAGTATAAATACAGTAATGGAGTATAAAGTATGGTAAGGGAGTATAAAGTAGAGTATAGGATGTATGATGACAAGATGTACTGATTACCGGTTACGTCTGCAGCCATGAGTCCTTCCGCTCTCATCACCTTCACCTGCACGATGCCCACGTCTTTCAAATTAGAGAATGACTTTAAAACACCCTGGAGGAAACAGAAGAGGAAGTTATTCACACTGTAGTGTTTTAAATGTTCATTTTGTGGAACTGAACATTAGCATAAGGAGTGCTGCTCACGTATCGTTTGAGTATCTCCCTTCGCTCCTGCGGGTCATCCAGCGGTGTGACGGACAAATCGGCAATTGAGACGTGAGCAGAGGCAGTCAGCGTGACCAGCAGCACCAAGCTGCCCCTGGACTCTTCCAGCTGCAGCTCCAAGCGATGAGTTTGTTCCTTGGACAGATTGGAGAGGTCCAACTGGCAGCTGGGTGACAAAAACAATACATCTTCATCAGTATTTTGGCAGCTACAGTTATTGCGCTGGTAAATTACACCACAGTCACTGGGAAGGGTCTAGAGGTCCTTCAAGGAGCACTGAGGAGGATCTACAGGTTCTTAAAGAAGCTCTAGTGGTCGTATGAAATGTTATAGAGGTCCTTTAGGAGGTTTAGTGGTCACTGAAGAGGTTCTAGAGGTCATTTGGGATGTGCTATGAGTCATTCAGGAGGTTTGCTGGTCATTGATGAGGTTCTAGACGTCATTTAGGATTTTCAACGAGTCCTTTAGGAGGGTTGGGGTCATTGCAAAGGTTCTAGAGGTCATTTGGGATGTTCTATGGGTCTTTTATGAAGTTTAGTGGTCATTGGACAGGTTTGAGAGGTCATTTAGGAAGTTGTATGAGTTCTTTAGGAGGTTTAGTGATCGTCTAAGAGGTCCGATGAGTGTTTTAGGAGGTTTTGTGGTCACTGAAAATGTTCTAGACGTCCTTTAGGAAGTTGTATGAGTCCTTTAGAAATTTCAGTGGTCAGTGAAAAGGTTCTAGAGGTCCTTCAACAGGGATAAGGAACCATTGAGAAGGATCTGCAGGTCCTTAAAGAGGTTCCAGTTGTTGTATAACTGGATACCTTTCTACCACACTTTGTGTTGTGTTTTTTTATTTGTCACTTATATGGGTTATTGTACATCAACTCTGCTTTAGGTAAGTGCAACATAAAAGTTTACAGCTCTCATTATTACAAATGAAACAAATTAAATAAAAAAGACCGACTGACCGTCCAATGAAGTCGTCTCTCCTCCCGGTGTCTCTGTCCCACACTGTGATCTCCAACACTCCTCCGGTCTCTTCATACAGGTGAAGGTCAAACTGCTCCCTCCACTGTGGACTCAGAGTCTTTGGCACCGTCTGCACACACACACACACACACACACACACACACACAGATGCATTATGGGAAACATGCCCCTAATTTGAAGAAGCTAAAGCAACATCTCCAAACACAAGCATCTCTCCAGAGTAAACCAGTGATCAGAGGTCAGTGTCTACGCACCTTGCTCCTGTACTTCTGGGGTCCCAGTCTGAACTTGACGTACGGGTCGCTCAGACCATTGGGGTCCATGGGGATCAGGTCCCGGCCTTCGATCAGCGCGATGCTGACAATCCCTCTCCACAGCTGTGATTTCCGGTGAAGCTCTGAGAGACGCATTGACTGCTGCTGCTTGTCCACACACACAAACACACACACACACATATTGAACTTTATTTATCACCTGTCAAAAACAAAGACGAACAGCATGTGGGGCCCTGTTCTTCATATGTTAGCTTGATTTGAGGGGGATGATTTGAGCCTGAATTTTATATCTGTGAAGCTGGTTTAAAGTTTGAGCTGTTGTCAGATCGTGGCCAAATTTCTGTAGAGCCACATTGAGAAATTATATAATTATGTTTTTAGATGAAAAAATGTTGGTTATTGCTAAAACACTGAGATCTGTTGGTGTAACTATCAGAATTCAGTCATCACGTACACTTGGGTGCTTTCACACCTTAGTTCGGTTCATACAAAAGAAAAATATGATACATTACTTCATTTTCTACAAACCAAGAGGAGTAAACAGGAAGTCATACAGACTGATAGGAGCGTCTGATGCTATCATAAAATCTTGTGTTTGTCTACTTTCACACCACAAATTAACTGCTTGGAGACCCACCTTTTCAAGTGGTCTGGGTTCAAATGTTTGGTCCGCACCAGGGTTCCGATTGACAGTTTTCGCATTAGCCCAAATGAACGTTGTAAGCATGCAAATGGAGCAGAGTTTGTTTAAACTGCACCAAATAAGTTAGGTGTGAAAGCCCCCTTATATTTGATAAGATGATTCAGGGAAAAAGATAAATTCAACAAAAATAGAACAAAAAAAAACACAGAAAAGGTGCTGTTATTTTGATCATTTGATGATAATTTATCATTTACATGATAAAATGTCTTCAATTCAGAGCGTTAAAGGGATAGTTCAGCTTTATTGAAGTGGGGTTGTATGAGGTACTGGTCCATAGACAGTATATTACATACAGTAGAAGTCAGTTGGCAGGCTGGAGTCCCACATGGAAGCTAAGCAATGTGGACGGGGGCAGCAGCTAAAATATATTTTAGCCACCTAAAAAAAATCAGTATCAGTTTAAGTGTACGCTATATTGAGAGTGTTTTCACCATTTTACCTCACCATCAGACCGCCCGTTCCAATGGGAAAGCCATAAATAGCTTCAGTTCCCCATCTATGTTCTCTTCAAAGCCACCAGACTCCATTGAGAAAAACAGTAATTTTACTTCACTGAAAACAGAAGCTGCTGGTCTACTGCTGCTTCAATCAGTTTGTTAGTTTGTGTTATTGTGTGACTTTGATGAATCTGAACTAACCCTTTAAAACACTAAAGTCACACAATAACACAAACTAAATAACTGATCGAAGCAGCAGTAGACCAGCAGCTCCTGTGTGCAGTGATGTTAAATCACTGTTTTTCTCAATAGAGTTTGGCTTAAAGAGAGTAATAGATCGGCTTCATTTTCCCATTGAAAATAAGTATCTGACATTGAGGTAAAGCAGTGAAAATATTCTAAGTACAGCACTTAAACTGATATTGAATCTTTCAGGTGGAACTTTTTTAGGTGGGGAAATATGTTTTTGTTGCTTAGCCTCCATGTTGGACTCCAGCCTGCTCCTCCAAACTGGGGGCGTGTCGACTGACATTTACTGGAGGTAATATACGGACTATGGACAAGTACCCCGTACAGTTCATTTTTTATCCTGAAAACATAAGCTTGCTATAAAAAATAAAATAAAATGAATAACTTCAAGGTCTACTTTTAGCTTTTTCCATGGCTTTCAATGGCATGCTCATTCCAGGTTTTGTCAAACAATTAGGAGGAAATAGTGCATTTGTTGGGGGCTATTTTCAGCAGCAGATTAATCCACATTTGGTGCTCTAGTCATATAAAATATCCCAGTTAGCTGGATCATATCAGCCTGGGTGAAGCAGTATGAAGAACGGGGCCCTGCTCACAGACAGTGGATGGAAATGACAGCAGCTACAACACATGACAACAACCAACATTTAAGAAGCTCAACATGTCTGACGTCTACTTGAAGTCTACGCCACGAAAAAATTTTAAACACAATGAGGCCCTGGAGCTAAAATGAGCAAACAGAACAGCGATGAGTGAACAGAGAGGTGATCAGCGTGAAGCTGTTAGAACAGTTAATGGAAAGCTGTGACGGCACACAAAGATGATGATGATGATGATGATGATGATACAGATACTTATGGTGATTTTACCTTAGTGGATCGTTTCCAGGACCTCCTGAGCAGCATAGTCTGAACATACATTAAAATGCATTATTTCAACTGACTAGTGAAGACTAGTGACTTTAACTACAGGGCTGAGAAATCAAACTGTGATGCACATCAGGAGCGCTGCAGCCTTTTTATGCCACTAGGGGGAGCTACAGGACAGAAAAACTGCCAACTACAAGTAGCTAAACAAGTGATGAAGAGGAGGTGTAGCTACTTTAATTAAGCTCCGTGAATAAAGCATCTGGAAACAGATCCTAACAGTGAGGAATGTGCTGAATGTTAATTACTGTGGCCTCATTAGTGTTAACGACACTTTGGTCTGCCCGAGCTCTTCAGTTTTTCTCCTGTTGCTGTTTGCTTTTTCTCCCCCATCCTCACTCTTCTTCTCTCTCCTTCTTAATGTCGTTTATCTCTGTCTCTTCCTCTCTAAGTGGAGCTGCAGCACAGACTAACACTCGGCCTGATAATTAATTTATATACTGAATAAAACATGGACAAGACAGGATGTGTTGAACGTCTCAGTGCTGAGGATACATGTGGAAATTCTCTGCTGCTCAAATAGTAATCGAGGATCGAGGGTAAATGTAACTGAGAAACTGTGATTACAGTTGTAAAATGCTGAATGAAGAACTCGAGTATGGAAGCAAAGAAGGGCCAAAAGGAATTTTACAATAACACCAAATTTTATATGCCAGGGTGCTGACTAGCTCACCTGGTGGAGCTTTGCCCTCGCCAACGGTATTAATTTTGAAGCTTTTTTAGATTTGGTTTTAGTTTTGTGACGACGTCTTGGTACTAAAAGGTGGAGCTGTGAACTGCAGTCTGATTGGTCAGTAGAGGACGGTCACTCTGCTCAGGGCTGAGTTGTGTCTGGTTTTGAGGCTCATGTAACCACTGTTCATACTGTGGAGAGTTTTATTAGTAAACTGTAACTATAAAATGAAAGGATGTGTTGCTGCCTCTCACAGCAGCTGGAGTCTGAGAAAAAATAACTTCATTCACTGGGCCGACTGCCGGTGACTTTTAAGGTGGAACGTTTACTTGTAATGTTACTCAATGCATGAGTTGATGACGTGAATCCATCAGCACACCTTAAATTTCACTGTGACAACTTTGACCATCACTTTAGTTTTTATATGACACACACTTTTAGTAATGAGTGGATCTTAAAGTGTTTATGTAGATTAATTTCTACTGAAGTATGTGAACTGCATATATTCTCTAATCCTCACTTGGAGGAAAAGAAAGCTTCGTGGAGCGTTGTTCCTGTGGGCTCCAGCAACACTAAACCCCTGAGCTTGCCTGAGAAGGACTAAATGCACAAAGCTGCTATTTTTAAATATCCCATGGAGAGAGACTCTCACTGCAGCCTGTTCTATTTTGTTCTGAACTTGTGGGTGTGCAGCCTCGTTCTGTGGACGATAAACAACGTGCAGACTGATAAAGGAGGAAACACAGTGAGTGCTGGACGGAGCAGTGAGTGACAACAACCCCGCCCACATTTAAGAGTACTGTCTGTGGTGGAAACACTAGGGTCTAGGTACCATGTCTGAAGGGTTACTGTTGGTTCCAAAGGTACCATACTGAAAAATCTGCATTGCAGAAACGGGGCTAATGTGTTATGAAAACACACATTTTTTTGGGATTGTAATCTCTACTCATTATATTCTTGAAACTGAAAACTTTTGTGCATTCTATTCTCTTCTCTTTGTTTCAAACACTAACAGCTCTTTTAATTTTAAAAAATATATATATTTTACATATATTTTAAAATATTTTCCTATTTTTGTTTTTCCATACAGGTTCATTATTATCCACCGAATCACAGAAGCAAATTTCTTGATCGTGTTAAACCTGTTTCTGATTCTAACAAGCTACACCACATTGACATAAAATCATTATATAAAGTTGTTGAACTTGGGATCAAACAGTTTCTTATGTCCACATCCAGCAGTCTTTGTGTCACCTGATGAGTGTCAGTCCGATATTCTCTCTTTTAGCTCTGTTTTGGTCTCCACCAACTTCTGAGGGAAATATCTGTCACTTTAGCTGCTAAATGCTCCACTAATTCCCCATTCATGTATTCATAGCTGCTTTAAACAAAACTGTTACAACTCTCCTTTGCTTCCATATTAAAGTCAGTCAGAATAACATCATTGCAGCACTTTTTCTAAATGCTGCGTGTGTTGCCAAGGTGGTGAAGATGTTTTTTCATTTGCATGTGTTTTCTTAATCTGCAGTGATTTGAGTTTTTAGGGCTACTGTAGCTGAGGGGAGATGACGCCAAATGAACTAAAGCTAAAACCTGAAAGCGAACAACAAGAAAATCTACTACTACTACAACACTTACTACTCCAGATAATTGTATCTCTGAAGTTATACCATGGTCTGGGTGAATACTCAATTCGGATTGGCTGCAGGGTGTCCATTAAAGACTGATAATGGACACTTACTAAGTAGTTCAGGTGAGACTGTGTGTTTCCTGTTTCAAATTAATACACTGGCCACATAATAGTGTAACAGACTGTTCTATATAGTGTGTCCCTCTTGAGTTGCTGTAGGGCAGGAAAAGTTTTTGGGGTGACATCCCGCTGTTTTAAGAGGCTCATGCATGTGTGAGAATTTCTGGGGTGTCTTGTTGTTAAATAAACCATAAAATTATATTTACTCTTTCTCAGCTGTATGCAGCGTTATTGACTTTGAATCTTACTAGCATTACGTTAGCTTTCTGGCTAATAGCTGAGCCAACGGGCTCCATGAGCTGGGTGGACGAGAATATCTCCCGTTACTAGGTCGTATCTAAGGTTTGTCCTATTTACTAAGATAGTGAGTAAGGTTTTAATTGCACAAGAACCTTACGGGGCAGCAATGATTGTTCCAGGTGTTACGGGAACGCTCAGGTGTTACAGAGGAAACCAAGTTTTGACTTGTGACTGCACAAAGCATAAAAATACGAATCAATATTCTTACTTATTATGGCTTTGGTAAGTGACCATGGTATAAGAGGGATAAAGCCAGACGAGTTTTCCTTTATCGCTTTTTAATGGCCTCTGCAGCGTGTCAGACGGTACACGCCTCCATGTCGGCCATTAAAAACTGATACTGGACACCTCGTCGAGTATTATCCCTTACATATCGTACAGCCTCTGTCTAGTAGATGGCTAATTTGCTCTCTACAGTGACTAACAAAGGAGAGGAGGCTCCTCAGTAGCCTGGGAGGTACAGCAGGAACGGGTTCAATCAGAGCCAGATCACCACTACACTCACTTTATTCACATACGGCTTCCAGCGATACGTCCTAACCTCGCTCAGCTGCAGGAAACACAGACGCGGCACAAACACTCATCACTGACTGAAAACTTTTCAGACTTTCAGATTTTCCTTTAAATAGAAATTAAGGTTTCCTGTTTAAAAAAGTCAGTTTCTCCTCAAGGTTTCCTTAAGTTTTTCTCCTTATCTTGGTCTTACACTTAAGGGATTGCTTAAAGTTCATTAAACCATTGCACAGAGGAACTTAGCAACATAAGTAAGGAAACATGCTGTACCTCTCACCGCATCTTAACCGCAACATGACTGAGTTTATGGCGACACATCCTGAGAAGAGTGTTGCCTGACCGAGACAACCCAATGGACAACCTTAACGATGAGCAATTGATTTTGCACTATACATTTTTATGATTTTAAAACGCCCTCACCCGTCTGCTGAACACCGTGTTGAAGTTCCTGTTCCAACAAGACAGGGATGAGATAGCAATAACAGGTCGGCTTTCACAAGCACAAGTGCGAGGAAACAAATGGTCTCCATGGAAACAGCAGAATTTTACTGCTGTCAAATCTCTTTCAGTGCCGTAAATATCTTAACGTCTTTATTTGACTAAGGAAAACTTTTAAGAGATTCTCTGCAACACTAAAAAAAATTAACTTTAAGTGTCGTACTTAAGGAGCAAACGTAAGGTGCTCTGTGCAACCGGCCACTGTTCTTACATGATGTGTCAGTGTGTGTGTGTGTGTGTGTGATGAGGACAAAGGCTGTACTGAGTTATTTATCTCTCCAAATTGTGATGATTTAATCCAGTAGTGTTAAAGGATTAGTGGATTGATGGATTAGTAAAGTGATTCTCAACCTCTTAAGACAAAGCTTTGTCTACCTGTGACCCTCCGTCAGTGGTTGCCCGTGTCGACCAGTTGTGACCAGTTAAAACTAAGCTAAGACCAGAGTATGTGAGCCGAGTGGAGCTATGGATGTATTGTAATATATTCACCATGCTCCACTCGAATTGCTCACTGCTCTCCAAAAAAGAATTTTAATTTTAGTTTTGCTCATGCTTCGAGCTCGAGGTGTGAGTGCTACCAGAGCAAAACTGGAGTGTGATGGAGCAGGAGATACGGCGACTCTCCAGCTTCTTAAAAAATCTGCTCTGTACTCGATCCACTCACGCTCTGGCCACAGGCTCAGGCCACAGGCTCATTTTTTTACTTGATTTAATTATTTTAATGTAAAATAATTTACTAAAAAAAGAGTAAAAATTAGAGTTGAGTTTGATAAAATAAAAATATAAAATAATAAAATAAAAAAATCTGTATTTTTTCTGCTTTTCTGTTCTATTTTCTTTGTGGCTCTTTGTGGAATACTAGCTCAACTGATTTTATGATCAACAGAAAAATAACTAATATAATAATCGATTAAAGGATTAAGGTGTTTACTGTATCAAAAAAAAGTCCTGAACATTTTCTAATTAAATGCTATCAAAAGTGAGGATTTGCTGCATATTTTCGCTTGTTTTTTATATTTAAATGAAATAATAATTAAAAATCAAAACAGAAAGAAAGAATTAATCAAATATAATCAGTTGAAGACATAAAAATGAGCCTTGAAAATTGTTTGTAGTATTTTATAAAGATGCTCTCAGCTGACATTCACAGTAAGTTGACGAAAGGAAACCAAAGATAGAGACGTAATGTAGCAGTGTCGTTACCGTTGAGCCTCGCCGCTCCTCTATGGGACTTTCTTTAGGTGTCAGGGTGACAGCCAGCTCCAGAGAGCCCAGGTCCTGGTCAGGGTGCTGAGGGTCCTTCAGCACCAGAGTCACAGGTATCGTCCTGAAACACACACAGGTGAGGACAGGTGTCAACACTGCATCATCAGCTCTACTCACTGCCATCATGCAGAAAGACTCCACAACTTTGTCAGTCAGTCAAACTACTACTTGATTCTAATGTGTGCAAATACTTTATTCTTTGTCTGTGCTGTTGTGTGATGTTGTGCTCTTACTTCTGTTTAAGAGTGGAAGTGAGATTATTTTGCATCCATACTTGCCAAAAAGCTGTTTTTAAGCTTATAAAATAATCTGTTTTAATAGTTTTTCAGGTGAGAAAGTAACAATTTAAAGTCCTGATACGTGATGAGGTCATCCAGATAATGCATTTTTTGAAATTTGGAGAGGATGGAGAGGATAGTTAGCTTAGCTTAGCATAAAGTAGCATAAAGACTGTAAATATGGAGCTACATTAGGGTCAAAAGTTTTGTACTTGGAAAAAATAAAATTTGAAACTGAAAATTCATGTGTTGATCTTGGATTTTGAAAAATACATCAATGTATTCAAAATAAAAATAAGTGTATGAAATGTTTTTTCAGGTTAAATATAATTTTGATTCACTTTGGTAATTCTTTTGAATAAATAATTTATTTTCACTTTTCAAAATAAGACCTCAAGTGTCAAAATATATATGGAAGTGAAAAGTGAAAATAAATTATTTATTCAAAAGAATTACCAAAGTGAATCAAAATTATATTTAACCTGAAAAAACATTTCATACACTTATTTTTATTTTGAATACACTGATGTATTTTTCAAAATTCAAGATCAACAATTTTTTTTTTCCAAGTACAAAACTTTTGACCCTAATGTAGCTCCATATGTAAACAGGGGGAAACAGCCAGGCTCTGTTCAAAGCTCTAAACTACACCTAAAGCTGACTGTTATTAAGATGCTGTATCTCTGAACTCATTATTGTTTTGTATCAAGAACATTTTAATTCAATTTTAACAGGTTTAAACAAAGTATATTCACAACAGGTATCAAATTTAAAGCATATATGACGAGGCACAAAGCAAGACATCCAATCACAATCCTCCCCATTCCCACTAATCCCATAACAATAAGACAGTTGTCCTGAATCTCCTGAACAGTACAGAGTAGGGCTGGGTGTTAAAAGTCTCTGTGTGTTCAGCTCTCAGTGCATCTGTATCTTCTAACTGAATCTCTGTGGTTTGGAGTTTAGTTTCTCTCCTGCGTCCTGATTGTACTTCAGATATCTGCTTTATTTTACTGCTTCATCTTCGCTATCGGCTGTATCAGAAGTTGTGTGAAGTTGCTGCTCGAAAACTCAACATTTCCTTATTTTGCTGCTTCATAAAAGTTTTTACATAACTAAATAACAGGGGACTTTTATTGTGAAGAAGCCACAGGAAATGAGAAGTGTTATTACTGAATTTATGGAACTTTGTCAGCAGCTTTTCTTCAGTAAAGACAAGTCTAATAATACGGCAGGGAGGAAGAGTGAAAGCAGGAACAGCCACAGTGAGATGTTGATGAAGAGCTAGTCTGGGGCCGTTAGTGGACGTTTTGGTAAGGAACCAGAACTAGGGCGAGAGAGACAGGATCCGGAATTCGATGGATGCGCCTTTCCGTCAAAATAAAAGCACCAAGCTAATAAAAATGCGGTGAAACTTTTTAATTTAAAGAATATAATTTACAAGAAAAGCCCCAAGCCATTAAGTTAACCTTTTTCTTTTATTGTAAATCGATGGTGCGCCAGAATTTAAAGTTTTACTTTGGTGAACACTTTTACTTCGGTGAATTTCAGATCCGCTCTCTAGACCGGAACCAGAATCCAGACAAAATTCAGAGTGAATGGAAACCACGTCTTCACGTACGGCGAAGAGCCTGGTGACGCGAGGCTAATGAAGAGCTGCAGACAACAGGCTCTTCCTGCACCTCTGCAAACAGCTCACCTCCAACAGGTAAACTTCTTCTACCTGCCCTGCTGTGGAGAAACACATGCAGCAAAAATAACAGGGGACTTGTGGATCAGCTTCCAACTGAACATGTAGCCCACTTACTAAAAAGTACAGGGATATATGTTGTGCATCGCCATTCAGCCTGAAAATACTGGGATATGATTTTTTTGTCCATATCGCAGAAAGACAGAAAGCAACAAGAACAAAAAACAAACACAAAATCTGTCGGACAACTGTCAGCTCTGGAAGTATTTCAGAAAGGGGCCCCAAACCTTATTCTTTTTATCCAAGTTACAAATTGAGTATGTTTTCAACAATAAGGCAGGACATAATGTCCCTCAGACACTGGGCGTGGGTGGGCTTTCCTTCCTCTGATGAGAGCTGCCCGTCTGGCCAGCAGAGAGGGAAAAGATAGTGTACGGCGTCGGATTGGAGTCAGGTGTACATCATGTTCTCTGCTGCCAAAGAGGGCGACCAGGGGGTTGGGTTGCAAGCACCATTATTTAACATGATTCTTTTTAGCCCCTGATTCCTGTATGCTTTTGTGTCAGTGTCAGTCGTTTTTTTTGGTGATGTTATCTGTCCCCATTTTTATCTGTGTTTGAAACTTTCTTTAATTTGCGACCCGGTTATTGTATCTCAGTGGGACCTTTCTCGTTAGATAAAGGAAAATAAATAAAACCAGACTTTTAAAAAGACACGTTGTGGTTTAACGAGGAGAACTATTCTGCCTTCACTTTCAGATTGTTTTCAGGTCTGTTTGAGGAACACTTCTAGCCCATAACATCCTGCAAAAACCACACGATTTGCAGAAGGGTATCGTTGTATCTGTATTACAGGCTGTGGTCATGTGTGTTGTCAGTTCTATATCTTCTGTACTCCCTGCACACACACATGCACAGAGTCATGTTTCCAGCACAGTGTTGCTCCACAAGTGGTAACATGAGACGACAGGAGGTCCTACAAAGAGTTCAGCCTGGGGGTTTGTGACGACCTCAATCCTCCACGTAATTAAGGCCTCGACTAAACCATGAGAAACAGCCACAGACCAAAGGGAGACCAAGGAATGTGAACGATGTGTCCACACTTTACGACAGGAGGTGTTACCGTACACCACTAATACACCGCATCCTTAAAATCAGCTCCTCTCTGACACAAAGCATCAGTGGGATGTTATTTATTACACGGCTGCATCAGGTTGTTGAGCTGGGAAGTACTTATACTCCAGTACTGTATAATTTCGAGCTAGTATTTACATTTTATGCTACTGAATACATCTACTCCACTACATCCCAGACTTTACAATACTCACGTTACGTCACGATTTGTGTCAGAATTTTTCTGGTTTCCAGCTAGTTTCTACAGAAACTCTAAGCATGTAAGTCATCATGACATTGTGTTTTCTACCTCTTGCTGCGTACGCATCCTCGATTGTTTCTAAAAGGGAAACACGTCTCGGGAGGAACAGAAAAATAATAATGGCGACAAAGCAACTACAAAGAGATGAAAACCCACTAAGAGATCCACTGTTAATGTACAAATGTGCAGCTTTCAGTACTTGTGGTTGCATTATTCTGTTGTTGTGGTTCACATATTAAAAAGTAAAAGATAAATCTGATGGATAAACACGTAGGAGGCAGGTCACAGTACCAGAGAGTTAGTAGTAGGAGTGTGCCATTTCATCTGTTTACGATAATACTGGTATAATTTTTAGTATCATATGAAAAATTCATATCGTGATACTTGCGATATTTTGACATATTGATGTCATACTGTTACCCACGGCAACAACAAGCATGGCTCAAAGTGAAATTATTAGCACTTCACAGTGGTTCCAAAAAGAGGAGCAGCTTCAGTAGTGTGGAATAAACTGTGGCGTCCTGAATGTTTCATGAACAGCCCTGGACTTCTCAGACTCTTTTAGGTCCTGTTTATACGACAATGATTTCAACTGAAAACGGTAAACTTTAGTTGTGTTTTGGCCTATCTTTTACATCACAGCAGCATTTTGGGTGCCTGAAAACGCAACGTTTTGAAAACTGGTTCCAGACTGCAATGTTTTGAAAACAGCTCCGTCTCCGTTGTCATGTAAACTTGCAATATGCAGTTCCTCTGAAAACGGGACTTTTCTCACATGCTCATTACGCTTCCAGCCACTAGGCATGCGCGAGAAAGTCAACCATGACAACAACAATGGCGGACTCCTGAGCTCTGCTTGTGCTGCTCACCCTGTTGAATTTATCAACACTTCCCCATCATAGTGTAGATTTACTGTAGCAACTCCACCTCGTTGTCCGTCCAGACAAACGTTCGTGCGGTTGCCATTTTGTTTGTTTATACATCACCGCTCTGTAGAAGGAAGCGTAAGCGTCACAACGCCAGCTACTGGTCTGGCATGTATACTACAGCACTTTTGTTCATTTTTGCGGCTCCGTGTGCACGGCGATAGTTATCAAAACGTTTTCGTCTAAACGTGGAACTTTTTTCAAAACAAAAATGAGAAGCGATTCTGTTTTCAGTGGATCGTTTTCGTGTAAACAAGGCCTCAGTGACTTAGCGCTCAGAGGGAACTCATTCAGCGGCTCCTCTGGCAGCAGCACAGCGTCTCTCCCTCTCCTCTCTCGACATGTGCACACAGGAGTCGGTGTCTTCAAGTGATTTTGTCATAAACCTTTGGTGATGTAAATCTACGCGAGCTCACAGCTCGACAAAAAACTACATATATGTGACTGTGTGATAGTTGTGGTATCATAACAGCCTGTCACAGGTTACAGTGTGATGATTAGAGGAGAAATGGCAGAGCATAAAGGTCCAGCTTTACTAATTTGTCATATCATCAAGAATATTGTTATCGCAAAAATATCCTGAAATACCATGATATTATTTTAGGGCCATCCTAGTTAGTAGTCAATACCAGTATTATTGACACTCAATTCAATACTACAGTAAAAAACAAAGACAAAACAATATATCCCCTGTACTCAAACATACACTCCTTTATTAAAAACATTTAAATCTAATTATATTTTATCATTAATACACAAAGCACTAGTCAGTGTGTGTTCATGAGATTTATGGACAAAGAAACGTATTAGTAAACAGCCTGCAGCAGGGTTGGGCAATATGAAGATATTAAGCTATTAGTCCGGCCCCTCCTCCACTGTGATAAGACCATAAACAACAAAGATAAGCTCAGTGTTTCACCCAAAGCTGAACATTTTTCAGATCTCAGTGACCAGAAAAAACCAAACATGCAGAGTTCAGAGTCATCATTTCTGTCGCTGCAGCTGCACTTGCTGCCACCTTCAACGTGTTGTTGTTGTTGTTGCTCCACCGTGCTGATGGGCGTTCTTCTACTTCCTTTTATGGCATTTAACATCAGCCTAGAGCACGTGTGGTCACATATGCTGCCCTGTCAGGTGCAGAAACATCCATGGTAGATACTTGAGAAAAAACAGTACCATCACATTTTCAGAACTTTGGCATCGACTTGGTATCGAAGTATCTGTTCTTGTGACATCCCTTATGTAAAGTTTCAACACAGTCGCCAGAAAAAAATGTTCGCATTGTGTATTTATACAAACTACTTACAAGCTGCATTTGGAAATTGTTATGTAGTGAACATGTTGAAACTTTGCATTGATTCTTTACGTTTCACCAATGCTGTGGTTAATGTGTGGTTAAGTTTAGACACAAACCACTTGGTTATGGGGAGGCAAATATCATGTTTCGGCTTAAAATACCTGGAAAAATTCTCGCTGGAAATTCAGCAATGGCTCAGTAAAAAACAACCACTTTTTGTGCCACTATCCCGCCAGGAAATGAAGCAATGTTTCACTGAAAAACAACTGCTTCTTTATGCTGCTATGTCTGGGGGAAACGTAGCGATTTCTCTGTAAAAACAACCATATTTTGTGCCACTCTCCTGGCAGGAAATGCACCAGTGTCTTAGGAAAACAACCACTTTTCGTGCCACAGTCCTGGGGGGAGATGTAGTCATGTCTTGGTATAAACAACTGCTTTTTGTGCCATTATACCACCAGGAAATGAAGCGATGTTACAGTGAAAAGAACCACTTTTCATGCAACTATCTGGGGGGGAAATGCAGAAATGTCTCAGGAATACAACCACTTTTCATGCCACAGTCGTGGATGGAAAACGAAGCAATGTTTTAGTAAAGAACAACAGCTTTTTATGCTGCAATTCCTGCAGGAAATGAAGCGATGTTTCAGTTAAAAACAACCGCTTTTTGTGTTGCTATCTTGGCAGGAAATGCACCAATGTATCAGGAAAGCAACCACTGTCCACGGGGGTAAACGAAGCAATGTTTCAGTAAAGAACAACATCCCGGGAAACAAAACGTTGTCTTGGTAAAATCAACTGCTTTTCATGCCTCTATCCTGACAGGAAACGCAGCGATGTCTCTGTAAAAAACAACCACTGTTCATGTCACTATCTAAACTAAAAAACATAACAGGTCACTAAAAACACCCACATTTGGTGCCTCAAAAGCCACGCAAAACACAGCCATGACTTTCTAAATCCCAACCGGTTTTGTTGTTTGCAGGTCTTCAACAGCGTCCCCTCCACCTCTACATGACAATGTCAGCTCATATCCTACGTCACTTCAAGAACATTTATGTGATACATAAAACATTCAAATGTAATGTATCTGTGGTTTGCAGAAGTGTACAATGCCAAGTTTTCCTTCTGGCGTCTGATCTGACAGTACTTGAGTTTTGTTTGTGTAATGAAAACCTGCCTAGGGAGGGAAACAAAAACAAAACCCAATGGTGGGATGAACAGCATGAGTTAAGGTGACATACCTCTGCTGCTCTAGAGAGTCCAGGTAGAGGTAAGCAGAGCCCATGAAGTCATCCTGAAGGCCGAAGTCGTAGTCAAACACCTGCAGAGCAGCAACAAACAAATCTCTACTGACTGTGTGTTCATCAATAATTCATGTGGAAAAGCTTTGTGTGTGAGAGTGTGTGTGCACAAGTCTTTACCTTTATATACAAAGGGTCGCTCAGACAATCCATTATCAAAGTGGTTTTCTCATCCCACACTGGGTTGAGGTTTTTGTGGATGATTTTGCTTCTGAACACCTCTTTACCTGCGAGCTTGAACTTCACATAAGGATCACTGCTGCCTGAGAAGACAAATTAAGCTGTCACAGATTTATAAAAAAAAACACTCGCAGAACAGAAACAGAGTTCACAGATGAGACATAACTTGTACCTCCTCTGTCCCTGACGGCCAGATTGTGTCCTCTCTTCAGCTCAATCTCCAGCTTGTACATGCCTGGGCTGGGGATGGCTCGCTCAGATGTGACCCCAGAGGAGCACGGAGCACCCATACCCTGTCAGGAGAAATGAATGCATTCATCACAACCTGCAGAAACAGTCACTCTATCATCGTTCACACCACACGCTCAAAATAAACTCACCGACATCTTTGAGAGAAATAAAAGCCGCTATAAGCTGCCGCTGAAGCTTAGCCTTCACTTCCTCAGTCGTTTCTGCACCCACACTGCTAACATTGACTGAAGTGTCTAATTCAGCTCAGTAACCCGTCCCCCGGGTGACCACTAACAGGAAATTACACGAGAGTAGCTTCCTCCCATTGAGCTGATTTTTTTTCCATTCTTGTACAACCCTCACTGCAGCAGCATCTCCTCTGCTGTGGTAATGCAGAACCTGAGCAGACATGCTGTGGAGCATTACAACCCAACACTGCTTCATCACCTGATGTGATGAAAGAGAGGACGAATGTTTCTGTGAACACTTTCCAAACATGTAGAAAGTGATGTTGTCATCTTGCAACAGGCTGTGCTCTCCAGCATCAACTCTCATTTACCCCATTTACTTTAAATCAAGAGACTCAAATTTAAACTAACTTCACGAAGACACAGACAGACACAAAACCACCACAAAGTTACTCAAAGCAACCACAGTGACAGGCAAAACAACTGTAAAGAGATGCAAAATCATCAAGAGATGCAAAACAACACCAAAGACACATAAAAAGCATATGGCAGCAAAGAGATGCAAAATTACTATAATAAGACACAAGATGTAAAACAACTACAGAGATGCAAAATGACCTAAAAGAGACCAAATACAGCTACAAAAACATACAAAAGGGATGCCAAATGACAAGAAAGAATCCCAAAACAAGTACAAAGACATCTAAACAACTACAAAGGGATGCCAAATGAACAAAAAGAGACCCCAAACAACCACACTGACATGCAAAACTATAAAGAGATGCAAAATCATCAAGATGCAAAACAACACCAACGACACATAAAAAGCTGACAGAGATGCAAAACAACTACAAAGAGTCACAAACACCTACAACGTGATGCAAAACGAGTACAAAGACATGCAACACAATAACAAAAGGATGCCAAATGACCAAAAAGACACCTAAAACAACTACAAAGGGATGCCAAATGACCAGAAAGAGATGCAATATGACAGCAAAGAGATTCTAAATTACTATGAGACACAAGACAACAACAAAGAGATGCAAAACAACTACAGAGATGCAAAATGACCTAAAAGAGACCAAATACAACTACAGAGGGATGCTAAATGGCCAGAAAGAGATGCAATATGACAGCAACAAGATGCAAAATTACTATAAAAAGACACAAGACAACTACAAAGAGATGTAAAACAACTACAGAGATGCAAAATGACCTTAAAGAGACCAAATACAACTACAAAAACATACAAAGGGGATGCCAAATGACAAGAAAGAGTCCCAGAACAAGTACAAAGACATCTAAACAACTAAAATGGGATGGCAGTCACCTAAGAGAGACCCAAAACAATGACAAGCAGATGCTAAACAACTACAAAGGGATGTCAAATGAACAAAAAGAGACCCCAAACAACCACACTGACATGCAAAACTATAAAGAGATGCAAAATCATCAAGATGTAAAACAACACCAACGACACATAAAAAGCTGACAGAGACGCAAAACAACTACAAAGAGTCACAAACAACTACGAGTACAAAGACATGCAACACAACTACAAAAGGATGCCAAATGACCAAAAAGACACCTAAAACAACTACAAAGGGATGCCAAATGACCAGAAAGAGATGCAATATAACAGCAAAGAGATGCAAAATTACTATGAGACACAAGACAACAACAAAGAGATGCAAAACAACTACAGAGATGCAAAATGACCTAAAAGTGACCAAATACAACTACAAAGGGATGCCAAATGGCCAGAAAGGGTCCCAAAACAACACCAAAGACACATAAAAAGCCTACAGAGATGCATAACGACTACAAAGAGTCCCAAACAACTACAACGTGATGCAAAACAAGTACAAAGACATGCAACACAATTACTAAAGGATACCAAATTACCAAAAAGAGACCTAAAACAACTACAAAGGGATGCCAAATGACCAGAAAGAAATGCAATATGACAGCAATGAGATGCAAAATTACTACAATAAGACACAAAACAAATATAAGGGGATGTAAAACAACAGAGATGCAAAATGGCCTAAAAGAGACCTATACAACTACAAAGGGATGCCAATTGACCAGAAAGAGTCCCAAAACAAGTACAGAATAGACATCTAAAAATACTACAAAGAGATGCCAGTGACCTAAAAGCGACCCAAAAACATGACAAGCAGATGCAAAACAACTACAGAGGGATGCAAAATGACCATAAAGAAATCAAAAACAATGACAAAGAGTTGTAAAACAACTACAAAGGGATGCAAAGTGACCAAAAAGAGACCTCAAACACCTACAAAGAGATGCCAAATGACCAGAAAGAGATGCAATATGACAGAAAAGAGATACAAAGTTACTACAATGAGACACAGAACAACTACAAAGAGATGTAAAATGACCAAAAAAGACACGCAAAATAAAAAGAGATTTAAAATTGCTACAAAGAAACCACAAAACAACTACAAGGTGATCAAAATGACAACAATGAGGAATAACAAAATCACAGAGATGCAAAATGACCACAAAGACACACAGCGGGAGGATATATCTTTCAGATATTCAATAATTCATATACAGCATGTGTAAAGCGACACCTTTCACATTACACATAGTACATGTGAGGCATTGTAAACGTGTATAAAATGACTGATTACTGCAGCTTTAAGAACTTGTTTCATTTTCGGTTTTAGATCAAAGTTTATACAATGAAATTCTACATATGTCGGGGCCCCTCGAATAAGAATAAGCTCCCCTGTGTTTGTGAGCAACAGAGTTAATCAAACATTAATATCCCCATACATCATTCTTAAAGCCGGAGAACAACTCTGCTGGGGATGCTGCATCCTGTCAACACACACTTATCCACTTACAGAGATGCTCTGATCAATACCTGTATAATGTGATAATACATGAACACTTATACAGCTGTTGGATATGAAAAGAGGCCGCGGTCGACTGTATGATTTACAGTTCAGATGTCCAGAGACTACTCGGATACTTTCAAAATATGTCTGGGTCAATGCACTGAGCAACACAGGAGACAACAGGAAGCCATGAGCTGTTGATTTTCACATTATTTCTCCGGAAAAGTCTTAATCCTAAAAATGTTTTTGTCCATTACTTAGTTCTTAAGTGTAAAGAAATCGACAGACTTTTTTCACTCATACTACCTTTATTAAAAATGTTTCCGTCCACAGAACTACATCATGTAAAGTTAATATTTTATTTATGTATATTTTTGTTACAAACTTTCCCTGATGAAGGTCTGAGAACCAAAACTGCATTCCAATCAGGACCACGTAAGTCAAAGAAAACTTTATTTCCATTTGCAGTATTATATTTGGTGGTACAGCTCTGTTCTGGGGCCTCTCTGCCCTTCCAGGCGCCTACCTTGAATGCCTAAGGTGGAGAGAGCACACCTCTCTGCCCTTCCATGCACCTACGTGGAAAGCCTGAGGCATAGAGAGCACACCGCTCCACCCTTCCATGTGCCCACACAGAATGCCTAAAGCTGAGTGACCACACCTCTTCGCCCTTCCACGCGCCTTAATGGGAAGCCTAAGACGCAGAGATCACACCTCCCCACCCTTCCACGTGCCTATGTGGAAAACCTCAAGGCAGAGAGAGCACACTTCTCTGCCCTTCCATGCACCTAATGGGAAGCCTAAGGTGGAGAGAGCACACTTCTCTGCCCTTCCACGTGCATACGAAAAAAGCCTAAGAACAGAGAGAGCAGCAACAAAGACCCCCCGGGAACAGAACAGAGCAGCATCAGTGACAAACACAAATGACATTGATAAGTTAGACACAGCATGAAAAGGAGGAGCTGGGGTGGACATAACATTTTTTGAAATGTTGTGTTATTGTTGTCTAATAATATATTAAGAATTATCACCAAAATCGAATTAGTTCATCATCGAGTCCATGTGGACGTTTGTGCCAAATTTAAGGCAAATCCCCTCAAGGCATTCTTGAGATATCACTTTTATGAGAATGGGACAGACAGATGGACAACCTCAAAACATAATGCCTGCGTCCAACAGCTGTTGCCAGTGCAGAAGTATAAAAATATTTCCAAGTTAAATTCCTGTTTAAATTGAACGTAAAGACCACACACAAACTTGCAGTGGTGGAAGAAGTACTCAGATACTTTACACAAGTACTTGCAGATCTGAAAACATCCTCCACCACTGAATTTGATATAAAAGCACACAATATCACTAATATCAGAAGCACTGCATCAGCTCCTCCCTGACGGCTGGCTGAACCAACAAGGAACACGTTACACACGTTATGAAACACAGACTCGTTTCCTGAGGCTGAAAACTTTTGAAGTGTGCGAAGTTCTCTGCTCTGGCATTTTGCAAGCTGCGGTAATTCCACTGGGCAGAAAGTGAAAACAAGGTAATAAAATAAGTGAGACCATCCTGTGTAACATGAGGAGGCCGTGAGTGGCTGTGTGGAGGCTGCACTGCTGCTGCTGTAGGTGGAAGAGGGCTGTTGAAATGTTATGTAGTCTGATGGGACAAGTGGGGTAAGTCCAGTTCAGACATGATGGTGTTAAATAAGGAGATAATGTCAGAGGATGAGGGGATCCAGGTCAACTTTATATAACTCAAAACACTGACATACTATATTATATATTATACTGCATTTATTATATTATGCTATACTTAATATTATTTTTGATATCTATGTTTTATAGCCGTACTAGTCTATACATTATGGTATACTACTTATGTGCACATGTAAATAAATATTCTTTTCTCTCAGAATGAGTCTCTCCAGATTGAAATGAAGTTTCTTGTTACTTTGCAAATTCAGATTATTAACACAAAATAGAATCAATAAATCAATTATGACGT